TTTCAATGCGTACAGTGCCACATCCAGCAATTTTAATACAGCAACGCTTCTCATACAATACGCGTTAATATAATTAAAAAGTTTTAAACTTTAAATACGAAGCGCCTTACAGTTCCGAGTGTTAAGATGTTAAACTAACATTCATTTAAATTAAATTAATTTAATTTAATTAAAAAGTTCTTTTATCATCATGTAATTTTTTTTGTCTATGACAGAAATTTGAAAACTAAAAAAATTTAATTAAAAAAAATTTGTATTTCTGAAATATTAATTCAATTTAAATGAATGTATATTAGATAGTAGTTCAACATTTTAACACTCGAACCGGTAAGGCGCTTCGTATTTAAAGTTAAAAAAATTTTTATTTTCTTCATGTCTGGGCTTATGAAAAAAAGTTACATAACCGATACTTTTGATAAAATCAAAACTTGTACTTTTTTTCTAAATTATTTAAAAAGATCAATATAAAAAATTTTTTATTTTTAAAATTAATAAATTTGGACTATTGAAACAGAGAACAAAATATCCTTCGAACAAAGATGCTTTATATTAACGGCAGCTTTGAATTATTTTCGGATTCAATACGATCTATAATATCTGTAATCTTGTTTTTGCTAATATTTGTGTTTATATAGCATTTGATAAGTTATTACAAAAATTGCAACACAGTAAAACATTTTCTGTATAATTTTCTGTATAATTTTTTCTAAAACCAGTGGTTTTTTCTAAACCAGTTTTATGTGATCAGGAGAAGTTAGACTTATTACAAATTGTACAATAAGGTTTATCTTTACGTGACATAAACGAAGCGAATAATTACCAGAATCTGATTTCATTCGTTTCGATAGTGGTCCCCCAATCAAAAGATTTTGCATAGTAGTGCTTTGCATTTCGCCGGACACTGATGCCTGTGATACATCCTCACCGCCGCTCGAACTTCGTTGTTCAAGCCTGTATTCCACAGTCGAAGAACTTTGCGTCGTAGCCCTTCGTATTTCGCTAGAATCTGGTCTCTGGTGTTTCTGGTGTTCCTCATTCGGAATGCTTTGTCCAGACCTGTATTTACATATCATTAAATTAAAAAGATAGAAAATATTACGTATTATTTAAAAAAACAGCCATGAAATACATAATAATTTAACTTCAAAGTATTCTGTTATTAAATCAAAATTTGCATTTTTTAGATTCAGTATTGATATTATGAATTCGTTAATATTTATATTTGCAATTTATTTATGTTTTGCGTTGGTTTTTAAAATTGAATATTAAAATATAATGCTATAGAAACTAAATCACATAATGTAATATGTATATGTTGACAAATATGCTGCAAAGGTATCTGATCAGAAATATAAAGTACGATACTTAAAACAATTTAAATTGAACAAGTTAATTCTTTGCTATTTTGCAATTTTTGTACTAACTAATGAGAAACTATTTAATTAAAATAAATGAATAACCGTTCATTGCAATTAATTCAGATAGTAAACGTATTGCACATTATACATGGATGCTAAATGCGTACCAGTATTTTGTTATATACAAAGTAACCGCAATCATCGCGATACGTTTACCAGCGATCTCTTCTTTGCGCTTATATACATTCATTATTGAATCTATTATCACAAATTCCGTATGCAATATATAAGAAAAAAATGTTGGTATTTACAATACTTTTTGCTTATATTCTACATACAGGAAATATGAGGATGACGATATTATGTAAAAAATTGTTTAAATTTGTAGAATTAACAAAAATTTAAATATTTTGTGATTTATTAATTTGTAAATCACGCAAAACATAATTTAAAGTTGTTTACATTTTTTGTAATATAATATAAATTATACTTTTATTAGAAGTTAATATTTAATTTTTATATATTATTTAATATAAGGAAAGTGAACAATTACTCAACAATGTCTACATCTTGAATCTCACTTTCTGTTTGATGTGATATCTGCGTTGCAGCTTATTTAAGTTCTAGTTGTGTGCAAACAATTTGTCTGCTTTTTTTGTTTAAGTTCAAGTTACTAAGTGAATGTGAAGTGTTATGAAGAGCGAGAAAATATAAACTATTAGACAGTAGTCGTATAAAATTCTTGTTATGTTTCCGGAGAGATCTAAGCTCTTTAACTTGGGGAATGGCATCCAGCTTTGTGAATTCCTTGGTGTCGTATAAGCAAAATGGTATTCCCTAAACGGAGTTTCTTGTAAAAACTCTAAATCGACATCATTTTCACGTAGAAACAAAATTTCTAAGTTAGGATATTCAAAATTTCTAGTTAAGATATGTACTATTGTCTTCAGTTCCAATAGAGCTATTTGACAATATAAAGGAATAAGATTAAGTTTTTCATTATAAAGATTAAGTTAGCTCATGATTAGTTTTACAGGCAGGTGTGACAATTTACGCTGCACCTAATTTTAAATTAAAAATTGTATTATAGAAAAACTAAGAGAAAAAATAATTTAAATAAAACCGATTTAGAAAATTATAAGCATTTAAAATAACGTAATGCTATCAATAATATGGTCACTATTATTTAAATTATTACGCAATTTATTTAAAAAATCATAAGAATTTTATTTTCGTAAAATTTATTTTTAGCTGATTTGGTATAAAAACAAGCCACAAATACACGAATTATGAGTTTGTACTTCTTTAATTAGTTAAACAGATGATTTTATTAATATTAATAAAATGCAATAGTTAATTTCTGAGAAATAAGGGAGTGTCACTATAGGAGACCTATATCAGTATCGGCAACTTTCCTCTACTATATACATATATCTACTTATAAAAGATTTCATAGTGCATAATCAGAAAGATTTCTCTCTAGTATAATTGACAAGTACGAATAACTATTCAAAATTCGAATAACTAATTAATTAATAATTACAGTAAGAATAATTTTGTACACTAATATAATATATAAATATATATATA